TTCCTTACCTAACGGTTTATAAGTCCAGAAGCACAGCTGGCCTTCTCCTCATACCCGCGTCAACTTAACTTAAGTCACGCCGATGGGACAAGAGGACTTAAATGCATGAGTCTTTAAACAGTTCATGGAAGCAGAGTTATACTTGAGGACAAAAAAGGGAGAATTCGTTTATCTTAAGCATAGACTTGGGATCGCTGCTGGGTAGGCGAACAGACCTATTGGTCGGAACTCCCCGCCTGAGGTCGGAACAAAGACGTTACAGCGTTCTTCTGTCTATCCAAAGATTGGAACTCTATAGATATATTTGTATTATATAGTCTCAGTTTTTATTTTGAAATTTATTTTTTGGTTTTTTAATTATATTGATAATTTTGGTTCAAATATTGTAACTACCCCATGTTTGTTGATAAATAATTAAATCTTGTTGTATCAACTCAGATTTAATTACTTTTCATCTGATGATACCTCTATTTATATACCTAGCCATCCAATGAAATGCCTTCTTTCATTAGCCAATCAAAACTACTCTTACTTCCTAATTACAAAGAAATAACTAAAGCAAGTCTATACTAACGATCATTTATTGAACAATGTAATTAACAAAGAATCAACCGCTTCAGAGTTTTTTTAATTCTGGCGGAAAGAATAGTCATATTCAAGTGGTCAGTGGTATAATTTCAGGCTTATTTGCAGTGGTAATTTTTGTGATATAAAGCAAAACGTTAGTGACACAAACATTGTGACGGGATGACGGGAACTGTGTACTCACTACAGTAAGTAGGTCAGAGGAAACCATCCGCTTCGGGGAAGTGTGCAAGAAGTACAATTTCAGCAAGCACAGCATCGTCAGAAAAGTATTCAGAATATTTTTTATTAATTGTACACTCACAAAATACATGCATTGTTGTATTTTTCACATACATATGGCTAGTTAAGAAAGCATCGAAGTGAATGCTTTATCTGACTATAAGTTGGCGAACCACACACTGTTGTCACCCTAACACAAGATGAAACCCGTAAGGGCGGATTCATGTAGGCGCAAAACCCTTCTACCAACCAACCAAATGGTCACATCATCTTCTGGATAACCGAACTACTCGGTAGTGAAGCGGACGTAAAACCTATCAATCAATCAATCAAAATGGCGTCACTAAGGTATGAATGAAAATGCTAGGGGTCGCTGCGGCTACCAAAAACATTTGCATATGAATGAAATGTGAATGAATGACATCCATAAAAGGAGATATCAGCAACCATATAAGGACCGAAAGACTATATATAGTCATAGGTGGTGTATGTATTGCTAGTGCTAGTTCCACGTTAAGCAAATTTCGTAGTATGCGCGATCCCCTAGACACTTGCGTTACCTAACGCATGTGTCAAAAACCGTTAACAGTTTGCTTCTAAATATTTAGTTGGTATCACTTCACTCATCCTTGCTTTGTTCGACTAATTAAAGTTCGGAGTGGCTATTGACACTCGGGCTAGATAAGCAAAAAACGGTATGCCGAGTGGCGGATTCCGGAAAGTTTTCATGTGGCGATAGTAATTGTGCGTAGACGGTTGTGCATGTCCGGATAGGACTAAGAACGATAAATGTAAGCTTTGTTCAACAATTAAACAAGGTGAATGGATTATTGACTTAATTTAACAATGTGTATCAGTATATACACGTAAGAAAACGTGTTTTCTTACTTATTATTACAAATTATAATTCGTTGTTGCTAGGTGTTCTGAATGGCCGAGTAAGAAGATGCATGGTTGTTAGGATACCGGAATGTTTGAAAACTGCATTTCTATTGAATTGCCGGGTTGTCATAATATCATATAAATCTAAGCTGAAAAATCATTTGTAAAAGTGATATATTTCAGTATTTGTTTTGAAATTCGCGGTATCGTAAAGTAGACATCACACGGAAAACTACGTTGACGTAACTTAATGTAATTGTCATGGTCGACTTTTCCGAGATATCGTTGTACATTTGTTGAGTTTTATAAGAAGCAATGTTGCAGCAAAATGTTAAAAGTTACAGCTGCATGAAGGTAAACGTATTTATAAATTTGAATGACAATAAAACTGTAAATCTAAACAGGGTAGCTGATGGGAATGGGGCTTACTGGTAGGAGTAATCTTAGTTCTAGGGGTAGAAAAGGGTGCTTGGGCTAGTGAGTATAGTTTTAGGGGTAAAAAAAGGGTGCTTGGGCTAGTGAATATAGTTCTAATGGTAGAAAAGGGTGCTTGGGCTAGTGAGTATAGTTCTAGGGGTAGAAAAGGGTGCTACGGCTAGTGAATATAGTTCTAGGGGTAGAAACGGGTGCTTGGGCTAGTGAATATAGTTTTAGGGGTAGAAACGGGTGCTGGGGCTAGTGAATATAGTTCTAGGGGTAGAAAAGGATGCTTGGGCTAGTGAGTATAGTTCTAGAGGTATAAAATGGTGCTTGGGCTAGTGAATATAGTTCTTGGGGTAGAAACGGGTGCTTGGGCTAGTGAATATAGTTCTAGGGGTAGAAATGGATGCTTGGGCTAGTGAATATAGTTCTAGGGGTAGAAAAGGGTGCTTGGGCTAGTGAATATAGTTCTAAGGGTAGAAAAGGATGCTTGGGCTATGAATATAGTTCTAAGGGTAGAAAAGGATGCTTGGGCTATGAGTATAGTTCTAGGGGTATAAAATGGTGCTTGGGCTAGTGAATATAGTTCTTGGGATAGAAACGGGTGCTTGGGCTAGTGAATATAGTTCTAGGGGTAGAAAAGGGTGCTTGGGCTAGTGAGTATAGTTCTAGGGGTAGAAAAGGGTGCTTGGGCTAGTGAATATAGTTCTAGGTGTAGAAACGGGTGCTTGGGCTAGTGAATATAGTTCTTGGGGTAGAAAAGGGTGCTTGGGCTAGTGAATATAGTTCTAGGGGTAGAAAAGGGTGCTTGGGCTAGTGAGTATAGTTCTAGGGGTAGAAAAGGGTGCTTGGGCTAGTGAATATAGTTCTAGGTGTAGAAACGGGTGCTTGGGCTAGTGAATATAGTTCTAGAGGTATAAAATGGTGCTTGGGCTAGTGAATATAGTTCTAGGGGTAGAAATGGATGCTTGGGCTATGAGTATAGTTCTAGGGGTAGAAAAGGGTGCTTGGGCTAGTGAATATAGTTCTAGGGGTATAAAATGGTGCTTGGGCTAGTGAATATAGTTCTAGGGGTAGAAAAGGGTGCTTGGGCTAGTGAGTATAGTTCTAGGGTAGAAAATGGTGCTTGGGCTAGTGAATATAGTTCTAGGGGTAGAAAATGGTGCTTGGGCTAGTGAATATAGTTCTAAGGGTAGAAAAGGATGCTTGGGCTAGTGAGCATAGTTCTAGGGGTAGAAAAGGGTGCTTGGGCTAGTGAATATAGTTTTAGGGGTAGAAAAGGGTGCTTGGGTTAGTGAGTATAGTTCTAGGGGTAGAAAAGGGTGCTTGGGCTAGTGAGTATAGTTCGTACCTCCAATTATAGCAAAGCTGCCAAACGTCAACGTCAGATTTGTGGAGAATGCCGTCAATAACAAACTCACACTCATAAGCACGGCCCCAGCTATAACAGCAGGGCGGAACTGGTACTTGTTGATCAGCATACTGCATATCGGGGCTAGGCAAGAAAAGAACATAGTTATGTTTCCGAATTCTTGTCTTATGCTTGTAGACAAGATGTAAATATATATATTAAATGAAATATTATTAACATTGCAATCGCATCGCTTAATGCATTATTCGATTTAGAAACATTTTTCACCGAGTTATCAAGCTATGCTGAAAGCTGAATCTAACATTTAAGTTAGGCACTATCCACCAAAGTATGGAGAACACGGTGTTTAGTTGACTTAAGATGATAAACAGTTATCACTCAGGGTTCTAGGGTTTGTCATTCGAACAATTTTCTCATCGCTCACACGAGGATAACATCGCAAGTTCACCCGCGGTCGCCCCTCGATTTTATCCACGTGCTCACGACGTGAAAATTGGTCACACGACAAACCACCCAAAAATGTCTCCAAGTATAGAAGAAATTGAACGTCCTTGGTTATTAGGTAGGTTCGATTTGCTCTTACGATACTTCAACTGGACACATAAGGGTACTTGTATTGAACGTCCCGGGCCTCTATGGGTATTACACGGTGTATAATAAATGTAGGATTACAATTATTGTTACGACTGTAATCTTTACTGTTTACCGTGTTGTAACAAGCATTTTTCATGAACGGAATAAAATCTGCCTCCTGAGACGATAATCGATTAATGTGTAGTACTCGTTTACAGAAATGCTCAATCTACATTATATAAAATGTATATAAACACGTGTTATAACCCGAACATATACTTACCAAACATGAGTTGGAGACCTGGCAGTACTCGTTTACAGAAATGCTCAATCTATATATACACGTGTTATAATCAGAACATACTTACCAAACATGAGTCGGAGACCTGCTGGCAGTACTCGTTTACAGAAATGCTCAATCTATATATACACGTGTTATAACCCGAACATATACTTACCAAACATGAGTTGGAGACCTGGCAGTACTCGTTTACAGAAATTCTCAATCTATATAAACACGTGTTATAACCAGAACATACTTACCAAACATGAGTCGGAGACCTGGCAGTACTCGTTTACAGAAATGCTCAATCTATATAAACACGTGTTATACCCCGAACATACTTACCAAACATGAGTCGGAGACCTGGCAGTACTCGTTTACAGAAATTCTCAATCTATATAAACACGTGTTATACCCCGAACTTACCAAACATGAGTCGGAGACCTGCTGGTAGGGTGGCCACCCAGGCTGTAGCTGAAGACGATTCGTGGAACTTTTCTTTAAACTTCTTTAAAAGAATCCCCGAAGATTTTTCTATCCCAACTAAAACGTAATGAAATAGACAAATAACTTTTTAGTTTAGTTTAAATATAGTTATTGCCAAAATTAGACAAGGGATTAGGCACAAGTTATAACAACTTATCAACGCCTTCTCCCAATATACATTTGAAATGACGTTACAATAATGACAATAAATATATACAATTGTTATGACAATTTGAACTCAAAATCTCTTGCTGGATTTAATAAAGTTTTGCACAGATCTAAAAATGTTTGAGTTAAGGTCCACGGAAAACTGTGAATTGCCAAACAAAAGAATTTCTAAATTTAACTCAACATTCAAATTAATCAAATTTTGAACCAAAATACGTCTTTCGTTCGTAAAAAGTTGACATTCCATAAAATAGTGAAAGACATTCTCACAAGGATGACCACAATTACAAGATGCACTCTCAACAAGGTTAACTCTAAAAAGGTCATAATTAAGGGAACTGCACTGGTGTCGGAGCTTAGTATGCAAGATATTAAGTTTACGATTTCCGATTTTAAAGTAAATAGGTGGACTTGACTGAATATTTGATGTTAAACAGGATTTGAATGAATTAATAGATGGTAGGGATCGAACCGAATTGTCTAAGTTATTCCAATAGTGAAGGGTAGAAGGTAGAAAAGAAGAATTAGTAAGAGATAATCTGAAAGGAGGAATCCTATAGTTATTATTGTTATGTAAAGCGTAACGATTATTTTCTCCAGATACAGGCGGCAAAAGATGATTGAAGTAATCAGGAGTTAATTTATTATGCATCTTATACACTAGTTGAAGTCTCCTCCGTTTTCTGCGATTAGATAAAGTTTCAAGACTAGTTTCGTAATATAAAGTATTAATAGGAGTATACTAGTGGGGTGACACCTGAAGGGATGTCACAGATGGAATGAAGTGTAGAGGGCAATAACTCTGTTTAAACACGGGTAAAACAGCTATTCAACATGACATTGAAGAAATTGTTCGAGTGTTTTAACAAATTTGACCCCTTTGACCTTAAATAAGGGTCAAGGGCTTTTCCTTTTCCACAATTTGTCTGGCATGATGCTGCCGTAAAGGCAAAGAAAAAGAAATGGACAAAATTTATTAATATGAGTATATGAAGGAAGTCCTAATATAAGCGAGCAGCTTCACGTTGGTCTTTTTCTAACTTTTTAGATTCAAAAACAGTGCAACCGTCCCACAACTCACAAGCATATTCTAAAACAGGTAAAATAAAAGTCTTGTAAATTATTAAAAGAGCATCCCTACTTAAAAAGAGTTTCAGTTTCCGTAAGACATTAATTTTCTTCATAACAGAAGTGTAAATTCCATTTACATGATCCCCCCACTTTGATTCGAATTAAAAGTTACCCCTAAATGTTTATGACAATCTGTAAAATTTAAGAATTTCCCATCAAATTCTAAATCAAAGTCTTCTTCGATATCGATTGAATTCGAAATAAACAATACATCTATTTTTTCAGGATTAAAATTAACCAACCAGGTTTTTGACCACGTATTTAAGATATCTAGGTCTCTATTTAAAGTTTCTGAATTTCGTAACAAGATGAAGATGACTTAAGTAATGATGTATCGTCTGCAAAAAGACGAGACGTTGATTAAAAAATATCTGCTATGTCATTAATAAATATAAGAAATAAAAGTGGGCAAAGAATAGAGCCTTGTGGAACCCTGCCTCAATTAGACCTACAGAAGAATGTGAACTGTTTAAAAATACCTTTTGGTGTCTCTGAGACAAATAATTTTTTAACCACATAAGCAATTCACCTGAAATCCCGTACGATTTTAACTTCACTACCAGACCTCTATGCCAAACCCTATCAAAAGCTTTGGATATGTCACAGAATGCAACACACGTATGGGTTTTTTCTTCAAGTGCAATACAAATTTGGTGATATATATCAATGAGTTGATACATGTAGAATGACCATGCATAAAACCAGACTGATATTTGTAAAACAAAGAATTTTCTATAAAGTAGTTGTACAAATGTTTAAAAATCACTCTTTCAAAAACTTTACCAACAGTGGACAGCAAGGAAATTGGTCTATAATTCGAAGGAGAATGGCTGTCACCCTTTTTAAACAATGGCATGATATTAGCTAATTTCCATTTATTTGGATAAATCCCTGTTGATAAAGACATATTAAATATTATTTCGAGCGGATTACAAACAGTGCAAGCATTATTTCTTAGCATATGATGGCTGATTCCATCCCCACCCGAGGCCTTGCCGAGCTTCAGTATCTGTAGAACATCGCGTATTTCAGTTGAATGTAATCTAATTGAACTAATATTTTTGTCAGTTTTTGGCTCAATAATCGGGACATCCGTGTTACTGTCATCTACTCTAGTAATACTACAAAAATAGTTATTTAGTAATTCAGCTTTATCTTCATCTCTAGTAACTATGTCATTAGTAATAGGATCGACTAAGGAAGGTATAGGTTGTGAAGTATCAGACGTTTTAATTAACCTTTTAATTAATTTCCAACAAGACTTAGGATCAATAATATCATAAACATTTTCATAAAAAGTAACATGTGCATGCTTTTTCATATTATTTACTTTGTTTCGCTGTGATTTGAATTTATTGATATCTACCGAACGTTTGGTTGACCTCGCTATTTTATGTAATCTATCCCTAATTCTTAAGTTTTTTCTTAGCTCAGAAGTCATCCATGGCTTATCATTAGGTTTTATATTTACTTCTTTACTAGGAATACATTCATTGGCAAAAGATAGATAAATGTTCGTAAATCGATCACTTGCTAAATTAACTGAGTCACAATTATAAAAAGTTTCTATCCAATTATGATTAGATATAAGTTCATTAAATTTTTCAAAATTTGGACTCTTGTACTGCCATACTTTACGTTTATAGACTGGTTTAAAAAGACAAGGAAGATTTATGGAAGCAGTACAACCATCGTGGTCACTTAATGATCTATCAACAGAAATTACAGAAGAGTCAATACAAGAAATAGAGTCAGATAATAGAATAGGATCTAGTAAGCTAGATCTAGTACGTCCAGTACAAGTAGGATCTTTTATAACATTAGTTAGTGATAAGAAGTTAATGATGTCAAAAAGAACGTGATTATTTGAAGCAGTGAAGAAGTCAACATTTAAGTCCCCTGTTACTATAACATTAGGAGAGATATCAAGAGCATTATTTATAGATGACCATCAATTTTCCCAAAACGGTAGGATAGAGCTTTCTGGTCTATAAGCTGTTCCAATAATGTAAGTCGAGTGGGGTAGGCTAATTTTTGTCCATATTACCTCATCACCAGGATATTCCAATTCTGGAAAACGATCAACTTTCAAAAGATTATTTATATAAACCAAAATACCACCCCCAGCAAATAACTTATTTACCAGTTTAATTACAAAATGCTTTATGTAAATCCACAATAAAATAATCAAAAGGGGTAATAGTACATTGTTCAAATTTCTAACAGAAGGAGTATATCATATTGCGAAACACTTATGGCAGCGCTAACGCTGTATTTTTATAGATGAAGCAAGCGCGCAGTGGATGCCAGATTTCACCGGACGAGGGCGCAGTGGATATCAGATTTTACCGGACAAGGGCGCAGTGGATGTCAGATTACACTGGACAAGGGCGCAGTTGATGACAGATTATAACGGACAAGGGCGCAGTTAATGTCAGATTATACCGGACAAGGGCGTAGTTANGACAAGGGCTTAGTGGATATCAGATTACAGTGGACAAGGGCGCAGTGGATGTCAGATTACACCAGATAAGGGCGCAGTGGATATCAGATTTCACTGGACAAGGGCGCAGTTGATGACAGATTATAACGGAAAAGGGCGCAGTGGATGTCAGATTATACCGGACAAGGGCGCAGTGGATGTCAGATTACACCGGACAAGGGCGCAGTGGATATCAGATTACACCGGACAATGGCGCAGTGGATGTCAGATTATACCGGACAAGGGCGCAGTGAATGTCAGATTACACCGGACAAGGGCGTAATGGATGCCAGATTTCACCGGACAAGGGCGCAGTGGATGTCAGATGACACCGGACAAGGGCGCAGCGGATGACAGATTATACCGTACAAGGGCGCAGTGGATGTCAGATTACACCGGACAATGGCGCAATGGATGTCAGATTACATCGGACAATGGCGCAGTGGATGTCAGATTATACCGGACAAGGACACAGTGGATGTCAGATTATACCGGACAAGGGCGCAGTGGATGTCAGATTTCTTGGACAAGGGCGCAGTGGATGTCAAATTTTACCGGACAAGGACGCAGTGGATGTCAGATTTCACCGGACAAGGGCGCAGTGGATATCAGATTTTACCGGACAAGGGCGCAGTGGATATCAGATTTTACCGGACAAGGGCGCAGTGGATGTCAGATTTCACCGGACAATGGCGCAGTGGATGTCAGATTACACCGGACAAGGGCGCAGTGGATGTCAGATTTCACTCGACAAGGGCGCAGTTGATATCAGATTATAACGGACAAGGGCGCAGTGGATGTCAGATTACACCGGACAATGGCGCAGTGGATGTCAGATAACACCGGGCAATGGCGCAGTGGATGTCAGATTTTACCGGACAAGGGCACAGTGGATGTTTAGATTACACCGGACAAGGCGCAGTGGATGTCAGATTTCACCGGACAAGGGCGCAGTGGATGTCAGATTATACCGGACAAGGGCGCAGTTGATGTCAGATTTCACCGGACAAGGGCGCAGTGGATGTCAGATGACACCGGACAAGGGCACAGCGGATGTCAGATTATACCGGACAAGGGCGCAGTGGTTGTCAGATTACACCAGACAAGGGCGTAATGGATGCAAGATTTCACCGGACAAGGGCGCAGTGGATGTCAGATGACACCGGACAAGGGCACAGCGGATGACAGATTATACCGTACAAGGGCGCAGTGGATGTCAGATTACACCGGACAATGGCGCAGTGGATGTCAGATTATACCGGACAAGGGCGCAGTGGATGTCAGATTTCACCGGACAAGGGCGCAGTGGATGTCAGATTATACCGGACAAGGGCGCAGTTGATGTCAGATTTCACCGGACAAGGGCGCAGTGGATGTCAAATTTTACCGGACAAGGACCCAGTGGATGTCAGATTTCACCGGACAAGGGCGCAGTGGATATCAGATTTTACCGGACAAGGGCGCAGTGGATATCAGACTTTACCGGACAAGGGCGCAGTGGATATCAGATTACACCGGACAATGTCGCAGTGGATGTCAGATTACACTGGACAAGGGCGCAGCGGATGTCAGATTTCACTCGACAAGGGCGCAGTTGATATCAGATTATAACGGACAAGGGCGCAGTGGATGTCAGATTACACCGGACAATGGCGCAGTGGATGTCAGATAACACCGGGCAATGGCGCAGTGGATGTCAGATTTTGCCGGACAAGGGCACAGTGGATGTTAGATTACACCGGACAAGGCGCAGTGGATGTCAGATTTCACCGGACAAGGGCGCAGTGGATGTCAGATTTTACCGGACAAGGGCACAGTGGATGTTTAGATTACACCGGACAAGGCGCAGTGGATGTCAGATTTCCCCGGACAAGGGCGCAGTGGATGTCAGATTTACCGGACAAGGGCTTAGTGGATATCAGATTACAGTGGACAAGGGCGCAGTGGATGTCAGATTACACCAGACAAGGGCGCAGTGGATATCAGATTTCACCGGACAAGGGCGCAGTTGATATCAGATTATAACGGACAAGGGCGCAGTGGATGTCAGATTTTACCGGACAAGGGCTTGGTGGATATCAGATTACAGATGGATGTCAGATTACATCGGACAATGGCGCAGTGGATGTCAGATTATTCCGGACAAGGGCGCAGTGATTGTCAGATTTCACCAGACAAGGGCGTAATGGATGCCAGATTTGACCGGACAAGGGCGCAGTGGATATCAGACTTTACCGGACAAGGGCGCAGTGGATATCAGACTTTACCGGACAAGGGCGCAGTGGATATCAGATTATACCGGACAAGGGCGCAGCGGATGCCAGATTACAGCGGACAAGGGCGCAGTGGATGTCAGATTTCACCGGACACGAATATTGTCCCTCATTAGAAATAGCACAACTGCTCCTGCGTGTCACCTATAGAGATAATCTCAGACAATCTGGTGTGAACCGGACTCATCAATTCTAAACCAACACATCTCCTTAAATAACGAGAGGATGATGATGTTACGTACAATAACAGATTCTCCTCACTCCACTGATAAAATACTGACTGGTTTACACTGACACGTTCCCAAACGCAATAGTTTAATTACGTTTTGATATTTTACACTTGCCCGAACAGAATGTAAAGCAACCATTATACACAATCAATGAATTACTATTTACTGGAAATAGATTTGGAACATTGTCCCAAATACTCGAAATACAAGGTATCCACGGACAAAACACTATCCCTATATCCTAACGTGAAATCAATGCTTCATGTTAGAACACCAAAGCTTGTTGGCTAGAAAGGGTGATATTGTAACGTTATCAATGGTCTCATGAACAGTTTCCATGTAAAGCTTAGAAGAAGCCTTATTCGCTTTCCTAAGAAGGAAAGACCGAAAAGGTTTCCGGCTTAAAAAAAATTCGCGTAGTATCTTTGGCATTTTTTGGTTTTACATGTTTTAACAATGGAGTGTACGTGTATCTGAGTGTACATATAGTACTTACATAATATAATATGAATCATCAGGCTGCCGAAGACGACCAACCATCCCCATCCACCATCAGGAGCAGACAACTCCTGCTCGAACTCAATATTTTCCACATCTTCATGGATTTCCATCTCTTGATGACTGACCGTGCGCAGCAGCAGTGCGCCATTCTCCGTGTCGCATTGTTTGGCAGAAGGACCAGTAGACTCAATAGACTCCATCGCTGGCGTGCTAAAAACAAAGAGACGTTTCTAAATATTGTTTTTATTAAATTGTTTTATGAAGACTTTTTTCTTTCTTCGAGTATTGTTAGGGATATCTCCGCATTGGGAAATATTAATTCCCAACAAGTGTATTGAGAGTTATTAACATGTTGAGAGGATCGGGCTGTTAACCATTGCAACATCGAAACCTTTCTATTTGAGAAGGTGCGGTGGTGCAGTGGTAGGAGCGGTTAGGCCGAAGGTTAGGGTTAGGGTTAGGCCGAGGGTCGTGAGGAAGAGGTCTGGACAGGGCACGAGTCAGAAAATGATATTCATTCGTCACTGGTGTTTCTATGTCATTATGTATTATGAAAAGTTCTTTTAATACAACCAATAAGTTTTTCTATGTGACGTTTCGATGACTAGTACGATATGTACACTGTCACACTTCATCAGACAAAATCACATAGAAAAAAAACATGGTTGTGTAAGAAGAACTTTTCATAATCCATGCTTACCAACCTGAAGAAAATGCTTAGAAATATGTCAGTTAGGGTTAGGGTTAGGTTTAGGGTTAGGGTTAGTAAGAATAACACCTAAGTGCTTCGTTAGTAAGAATAACACCTAAGTGCTTCGTTAGTAAGAATAACACCTAAGTGCTTCGTTAGTAAGAATAACACCTAAGTGCTGATGTTGGTTAGTTATTTGGATAAGGATGTTATTAAATGCAGGGATGAATGGAAGTTGCCGATTTGAGATGACTTTCTTTATGATGATGATACACATATTAACACTTTCATTTTCAGGAGTGTCATCTTTTCCGAATATAAAGGAAATATTTGACCACGGAAAATCTATATTACAATTCGTTACAAATTGTTGTCTTAAAAATGACCATAACACACGTGTTTGAGGACAATCCCAAAATAAATGCGAAAATATATATTGACCTCGGACTGCGTCCTCTGTTAATATATCTTTTCTCGGGTCGATAAATCCAGGTATAGACCTCAGCCGAAGGCTATAATTGAATAATATCAAATTAATATATGATATTACAATAGTCCTACAATAACACTCATTGGAGCGTTAAATAGAAGATGTTAATACTCACCTGCTACTGATGCTCGACTCATGTGTACAGTTGTGTTCTGATATCAAGAGTCATATGAACAGTTGTGTTCTAATATCAGGATTCATATGTACAGTTGTGTTCTAATATCAGGATTTATATGAACAGTTGTGTTCTGATATCACGATTCATATGTACATTTGTGTTCTGATATCACGATTCATATGTGCAGTTGTGTTCTGATATCACGTGTCATATGTATAGTTGTGTTCTAATATCAGGTGTCATATGCACAGTTGTGTTCTGATATCACGAGTCATATGTACAGTTGTGTTCTGATATCACGAGTCATATGTACAGTTGTGTTCTGATATCACGAGTCATATGTACAGTTGTGTTCTGATATCACGAGTCATATGTACAGTTGTGTTCTGATATCACGA